CTGTGGCACAGAACAAGCCCCCAGTGGCTCTCAGGGACACAAGGGAGATTTGCCAATCTCTCCAGGAGGTTTTGGCCATGCAGATAAACTCTGGAAGGGTTTAAGTTAATTAATTTAAGTTAATTAATTGAAAATTACCTGGCTGCACATGTCTTAGAGGTGCAGGTTCCTGTGGTGAGGTGTGGGACCCAGAGGGTTGGTGGCACCAGGCTGTGATTTCAGGGAGGRTCAGGACTGGCTGGGGGCAGCTGACCAGGACAGAAACTGTTTTCTCACTTTCTCCCTTTTCTCAAGTGCTGGTTCATTAGAGAGGAATTAAAACCAGCATCACTGTGATCATGGGTGTTTTCCACTCTCTGCTGACACCTTTGGGACTKGYTCATGTTCTCCRATCTTCCATTTGGGGTGGAAATTTKTTCCCCACCTGTCCCCAAACATCCCCAACTGCTGAGAGCTGCAAACAACAATATCAGCTGCGTTTGTCTTCTGCCCTCCAAGCACTTCTGGGAGCAAATAAACCACTGCTCCTGTGCTCAGGTGTCAGACTGCACTCACCTGTGGACAGGTGCAGCCTCTGCAGCATTGACAGAACAAATGGATACGGAAAAGTCATTACTGAAACCCACAGCAGGAGCAGGAAGGGATCTCCTGAATCCCACACCTTTGGAATGCTGCACCTCCTAAATATGAAATATCTCTCTGAAGGTGCCACTGGGTACTGGCTGAGTGAGCCAGCAGATCCCAGCACAGAGCAGCGTGGCTGAAATCCAACTGAAACAGCCAAGGCTCCRAAGGCAGGCTCCAGTGCCAGTGATAATTTCATGTAACACATTAAATTCCCRGTGACAGCGACTCCTCGGAGCCCTGGCAAATTGGAAAGTGCTGGATGCAGCAGCAGCAGCACGATGATAACCCAGTTAATCTTCTGCAGGGACATGATGGTGAAAGAAATGGCTTTTGGATGAGCTGTCATTAGAGTGAAACATCTGCCCTGCAGGCCAAGGGGAATGTCCTCACTCGGGCACAAGGAAGCTCATTAAATTCCTGGGTTTTTGTGGCTCTGCTCCAGACCACACTTCCACCAGGATGGAAAGCTGGGAAGCACAATGACTTGGGCTGAAAGGCAGGAAGATGAATTCCCTGGAGATGTGTCAGCTTCAAGAACAGYTGRAGARGTTGGTTTATGTGTTTAGATTCCCTTTAGTACCTGGCAGCGCACAGCAAAGTGAAATARGAAAAATTAATGGGAGTGATGKGGTTTTAAAGGAAATTAAACCTTCTGAGATCGCAAAAGCTCAAAGTTTAGCCCTGCCTGAACTCTGAGGAAAAGCTTCCAGTGGAATATTTAATTCCAAACACTTTGCCATCATTTCTAAGCTGCTCCTTGCCTGCTGGACTGCAGAGCCCGGGGTCAGMAAACCTCCCTTGTCCAACTCTATTTGTGATGCAAATACTCTCACATCTGATTTTCCTTGTATGCACTTAGAAGGAATGTTGAATTCTTCAGAGAGGCCAGCCTGGCAGGGCACTGTTTGTGCAGGAACATTCTCAAACCCGATTTCACAGTTTGCTTTCACTCTTCATTACCTGGTGATGATGTGCAACACGCTTGTTAAGGCTGCAGAATAAAGGGACAAAATTAATGGAGAGAGCAAAGAAACAGTTGGTAATGTCTGTATAGAGCTCAGAGATGAATAAATCACAGATATTTAAGCTGTAATTAATTAATGACTGCAGCTTCAAACTGGATTACAAACAGGGATCCAGTTTCACCTTTTATTAGGCCGCATTTTCTTCTTGATTACATTGGTGTTGATTAATATAAATCTATCTGAATTCCTCACAGTCGTGTGACATTTACAGCAGAATTCCTTGAGGCAATGTCCTACATCACATCATACAAAGAGCAATAAATTCCTTTTCTGAATATTCAGCCATGGGCTGCTTGCACAGAGGGAGGAAAAGGTCTCAAAGCAGCAGCAAACAGCTCCACAAACCCTCTGAATCACAGCTTAATGTTAAAGAAATGCACAGAAATGACCACTGCAGGTTTTTTCAATCTGAAAGAAGTAGAACCAATTTTATTTTTTTAATGGTTTTTATCCAATCACAGAATCATGGAATGGTTTGGRTTGGGAGGGACCTTAAAGCTGCCCATGGCAGGGACACCTTCCACTGTCCCAGGTTCTTCCAAGGCCTTTCCTAGAAATTGGYTGGAAGAGTAAAAACAAAACAGAGAAATAAAGAACACATCAGAAGCTTGGGCACAGGCAAAGGACTTTAGTGGGCACAGGCAGAGAACAGGGAAAATTAAAAAAACCCAATAAAAATGCTGATGAGAAGCAGCAGTTCCTCAAGGCCACGAGGAATAGGCACAAACCTGAAAAGGAATTTTTTCTCAGGATAACTCTGTGCCTSTGGTCCTTATTTTTAAAGAAAAATTTCTTTAGGAGCAATAAATGCATTCTATCCCAGAGAATGCATTGCTTAACAGTAAGAACAGGCCAAAAATTGCTTCCAAATTGCCTAAGGAGCAGACCAGACCAATGGAGAAATATTCCCTTGAGAGACAGGACAAGTAAATTGTGTTCCCAATACTTTCCTGACAATTGGGTGGTCTGAGAAAAAGCAGAATATCCTTTTTTACATAATAGAAAGACTGAAAAAAAAAAATTCCAAAGCCCTGAACAACCACTTCTCAAAAATTTCTCGAGACACAGAGAAGTTCCCGTCTGTTGATTACTACTTGAAGGAAAAAAATGAGCAAAATTATTTCTTTCAGCTTGCAAATTGAGCTAAGAGTTGTTTAAGGATATAATTTCATGCTTGGAAAGAAACGATATCACAGCCTCTCAACGCCCATTAGGGGGAAAAATACTCATCAGCGTCACTAGGATTAAAACCAAAGTAACTTCTTGAATTTGAAGGGCAAGAAGCCCAGATTTACCTGTGCTYTYAGRGTAGGAWAAAGGAGCATGCAGAGAGCAGGAAWGGTGGAAGGTTCCAGGTGGTGCCATTGCTGTGGGGTGATCCCAWGGCTGCTGAAGGGAGTTCCACTCTGGAATGTTGCCTTTGAGACAACAAAACAACCAAAAAGAAAATGCTCCCTCTTCCCTTTCATCCTGATCAAAGCAGCAGAGSAGTCTCAGCATTGCTTTAATCTTTGTTTTCAGCAGCACTTTCTGTTTTCCTCTGTGGTTGTATTATCACCTCCAAAAACATTGGGACAACTCCCTTGGAGCAGCCAAAACAAAGAGAGGAGCTGCTGCTCTGGGCCCCACCTCGGCTCCTTTCTGCTTCTGGACTGAGCTGAGGGCTCCCCTGTGTAAGAGACYGTACTGAAGATCCGTGACTGTCTCACAATTATCGACTGAACACCCCAAAAACCCGAGGGGAAGAAAAGGGGGGGGGGACGGACGACTCTTTTCTTGAAGGGGTCCGAGCCGAATGAAGGTGGAGTGACTGTTTTCAGCTTCCAGGACAGCGAGTCCTCCCCATGCATCACTGGCTTCTGTTTAAAGAACATTCCCTACCGATTCTTTCCATGCCCCACGAATCTCCATCAGGTTACCATGCCCGACTTGCTGCCACCTGCTTTGGGGAGGGGGGAAGTCCGAGCCAGTTCCACGTGGCCAGTCCTTGCTTTGCAACACCCCCCTGGCTTGCAGCCACTCGCTTTGAAAAAGACTATAAAAAGTCTCCCCCGAGAAGAYCACTTCGGAGATCTCTCCCAACGGACTCTGACGACCCCTGTGGAACTTTGGAAGACCTCGTCAAGCCCTGTTGGTAGCTATATAACCCATTCTCTCTCTCTCTTTCTCTCTCTTTCTCTCTCTCTCACTCTCTTCTATCGCAAAATACCCAAATAAATTGTTCCTGATTATTTGAAGCATATATATTTTCCCCTYGTTTTCTTTTGCACTCTGAGATTCCAATAACGAACCTCACCACGACCCTCGCTTGAGTTAAGCGGATCGTGACACCCTGGTGCAGGTGAATCCCCAGGGAGGTGTCCAGAGTCCACCTGAAAGCAGAAAAACAGAGCCAGAGCAGCAGGAAAAGCCTGGCTGARCATTCCAGAGCTCATTCCGTGCTGCCCAGGGATGAGAGGAGGGAATGGTGCAGCTCTGGGAGGAATTGGGGCTTTAGTGCTGCCTCCAGCCTCCTGCTCACACTGAGCACTTCTGGATGAGCTCCAGCACTGGGTTGAACACCAGGAGAGTGAGGGATGGAATTTGGCAGCTCTGGCAGGCTCCCCTATGGAGAGATGATCCCCGTTATCTGCTCAGGCAAACAGAAACGGGATCTGGGAGCCCGAGGTGTGTCCTGGATATCAGCTCAGGAGCCSCTAAGGTGGATTTTTGACCCTGTTGAGCCTCATCCTTCACTTTCTCTGTTATTTTACTCTTCCCTGGGGCAGTCAAACAGTTCCCTTGGCATTTGTGCTGCCCGACTCCCCGATATCTGTGCTGATCCTCCCATCCTGGAAGGGGTGGAACACAAATGGCCCTTCACAAACCCCTTACAGGGCTTGCTTTTGACTGRTCCTTTTGACTTGGCCATAAAAACAAGGCCATGATTGACCAGTACATGTTAAACTCATCAAACACCAGCAAGGAAATACCTGATTATTATTCATGAGCTGCAAGCGATTTGAATGTTTTCCTTCAGTAGGACTGGAATCCSTGTGTTAGAATTAGTTCAGTTCAGCCAGAAAAAGAGACTTTTCTCACTAGGAGATTACATAATTCACAGTAATTTAAGGAATCCTGAATCCTGCAATTTGCTTCTTTCCTCATAGCTCTCCTGGTCAGTTTTTTGCTTTGCTATCTGAACCTTTCTCCCCCTAATTCAGCTGTCCCATGTTCAGTATCACGTCTGTTGAATATTTATCATGAGCTTCTCATCCTTCTTCTCTTTCTCATCTCTCCCTCATTATTGCTGCCTCCCAAACAAACCAGAAAGCGATCAGACAGCAGGAAAATCCCCCCAAAAAGAAATCAATGTATGCTGCAGCTCGATGCCTCCCGCTTCAGCCTCGCCTTCAGCTTCTGCAGCTCAACACTTTTATCAATTTTCAACCCRTAGTCCGTGATTTTCCAGGCCTCTTCGTAACGCTGCTTTTCCAAGTTCCTTTGTGCCACTTTGTGAAAGGTTTGGGTTAAAGTTTCCCTGCCAGGGCAGTTGCTGATGGTGTCCAAGGCCAGGGGCTCATCCAGCTCCAGAGCCTCCATGTAATGCTGCACCGCCGCCTCCTCCTCCTCCAGAACCAGCAGCAGAAATCCCTGCGAGCAATGATCCCCAGCCTGTGTTTTGGGGCTGTTACAGCCGTGCCCCTGGATCACTTTTTCCATGTCTTTGAGAGCTTTCCCGTATTTTTTTAGGTGCATCAGGCAGGCGGCTCTGCGGCGMAGGTACCTGGGGTTGTCCCTGCTGGCCAGCACGGCCAGGGTGTGGTAGCCCAGAGCTTTCTCGTAGTGATGGCTTTTGATCAGCACCTTCCCCTCCTGGGCTGCTGCCTGGGGGGACAGAGGTAATCAATGTTAGTCAAAAAAGGGGAAAAAATAGAAAAAAAATAGAAAAAATTAGAAAAAAATAGAAAAAAATAGAAAAAATAGAAAAAAATAGAAAAAAATAGAAAAAAATAGAAAAAATATCTAGTCTGGATTGGGCATAGACACAGACACAAAGAAATCGCTTTGTTAAAGGTTGAAATTGCATTTAGTTGGAGAAATAATAATAGGGGCTTTTTTTCGTATATAGATAAGATTTGAAGCTCTTGGATCACTGGGCACTCGCTGTTATCTCAGGAGCTTCTGAACTCCTCTCCTTTGTTTCTGCATGATTGCCAGAATTTCTTCTGAGTTCGTTTACATTCCTTGAGAATGATGAATAAAAAACTGCCCGGACTGACCTCCCCAGGTGCTGCCCCACAAATGCAAGGCTGAAAAAATGAAGTTTTTTGTCTCCACTGGAGCTTACTCAAGCTGTAGGAAAAAAAGGCCAACTGATGGTTTGGCTAATTGCTCATCTCAAGTGCAATTTGAACTCTCTGCCCTCATCTGAAGGGAAAAACAACAAGAAGAAAATAGAGAAGGCAGAAAGAGCCATAATTTCTAGGTTCATGGAGGTCAATAAAGAAAACTCCATTAGAACTATTTGCCTCAAATGGATTTCTCATTATTTCCCTTCATTGGTAATAAATAAAGCTTTTAACRTGCTGCAGCAGCAGAGTGAATATTCAAGTTATAAACAAGGCTGCCATCAGCAGCTTCCAAAAGGCTGAGCCAAACAAGCTCAGGCTTTGAGCAAAGGAGAAATGTTTTCATCCTCCTCATTTCTTGGGGTAATTCCTGCTTTTGGATGCAAAAATTCAGTTAGCCCAGCCCCTGTCTYGGTAGCCACACTTGACAGCCAGCTCAGCTCCTTCAGTCTCTTTTGTGCCCCTTTTATTTTGGCTGAGTGAGATTAGAATTGATTGCTGTCTGAAAGGGCTGAGGAGAACAGGTTCTGCAGGGTTTGGGATCAATATTGCAGAGCAAGTCCCAGCACCTCATCTGAGAGCAGTGGCATGAAATAATTTAGCYTCTCCAAATGGTTTATGAGGAATTCTGCTGCAGTCATTTTGTTATAATCCATACAATAAGCATTTTTTTTGCTATTTTGCTTGACACAGTCATGTTTATTAAAGAATCTCTCAGCTTCCACACTCAGAAATAGCAATAGGACCTCTCCCCAAACAGTGAAAATCCCTGATTTTAACAATTCTGGCCATAAATTTTCAGACAGCCTGTCCAAACCCATCTGAGATGTCTGTGTATACACTGAAGAAGCAGCACATTTACTTTGAAATGTTTTTAAGATAATTCCATACTGCAAGCATTCCCTCAGTGGCAGGAATTTAACGAGGGATCAAGGTGGAATTGCAGCTGTGTGAGGAGCATCCTGGCAAGAGAAGGTGTTTTTATTTCCCCCTAGAAATTCCAAAGTTCTGGATCACATTGTTCCAAGGAACGCAGCGCAGTTCCTCAAAACACCTCATGTTTGTGTGGTTAAATTGCCATTTTCAGCCTCTAAGGTGCATTTCTTGTCTCAGAGGCAGAAGAAAACAAAATTGTTGTTGTGCTGAATGATTAATCTGGTSCTGAAGGTTTCAGGGTTTGGGGCATTTGGGGTTATTGCACCATAGGCAATATTGAATTTATTCACTAAACCACTGCTTGGGCTTCTTCACATTTCCCTGAGAGTCCCCAAATCAGGCCATGAGATTCTGCATTTCCTGCTACACTTGGAGCAAAAATCCCATCTGAAAAGAAAGGATTMATTTTCCATCCTTAGTGATGGACTAAGGTTGGGCAGCTGGATTTTGGAGCCTCTTTTGGCTCTCTCAGTTTTAAGGGACCTGAGCTGGGACATTTTTGGGGTGTAACAGAGAAGGATTAATTAGCAATTGCCACATTATCTCCTCACAAAGAGAAAAATGAAAACTAAATTTATGGAAAGAAGAGATAGGAAGCCAGAAGGACATGGCACAGCTGAGTTCAGCTGCTCCCTRCAAGAAGCATTTTTGTCATCATCCTCACTGCAGGTGACCTGGAAGGGCAGGAAAAGCTTTGGGGTCCATTTCAGTGGAAATCAAGTCAAATTTGTCATCAAACGTTTGATTTTGGCTTCCAGATTGAAATAATTCTGGTGACACATGGAAAGGGTCATGAGTGAATTCCTGGATTCCTGGATTAGGTCTCTGTGTCCCTTTCCTCTATCTGTCCACCTCACTGATAAAAGACTGAAAATACACAAATTTTTGAGTCACTTATGGTTCCAGTCCCTGGTGACCAATCTTATGATGTGACCAAGGTTTAATTCCTTAGAAAAAAAACGAGTGTGGAGTTTAATGGCCATGGAATTATGGCCAAGGGTTTGTCCCTGAGCAATAAATCCCAGCAGATGGACAGATAAACTCTGAGCTTTGGGAGAGAGTTCGATGTTTTCAGAAGAMTTTGGAGCAAGCCTTTCCTTCCCCACCTGCATGTGCCATGAAGGGAACGTGGAATGGCAACTTCACCCAATTCTGGCCCAGACCATGGATTTTTGGACCCATTTTTTGTAGGATTCTGGATATCCAGAGAAGCTGCAGCCCTGAGGATCTGGGAATCAGTCGAGCATTTCCCCCCTGACCTCGGAAGCCCAAGGGTTGAAGCTGCACTAGCAGCAGGCAACCTCCCTTCCTCTGACCTTTCACAGCTTAATAAATCTTTCAGATTTCTATTCCCAKGTGGCTCTCCCAGTTGTTTACAAATTTCTCAGCATGGGACCCCTTTGACTATAAATAATAGGAGCATATTATTGCTTTGTTTTTCATGAAAAAAAAAAAGAAGAGTACATCAAGGAGCTCTCTCCTTTCCCCACCCTTTCCTATTCAGCTTATGGAGAGCTAAAAATAGACCTGGGTCCAGGATAATGATGACACGTTTTTCAAATGCCTGCAATTCCAAATACTCCAAAAAACAATGTGGMAGAAATGCTTTTGTGCTGGGGTGCTGAGGCTGAGGGCTGGGTKTGAGCTCTGAGCTCTCCTTTTCCTACCTAAAATGCAGGAAACAGAGCAAATTCCCTCTCCCAGGGTAGGAACCACGGCAGAGTTAGGCCATCGTTGGGAATTTTAGCACTGATTCTGTCTGTAAGCTTTTTTAACTTTGCTGCAATGGAGATTTTCCTTTCACAAACTCGAATAAMCTCGCAGGSAAAAGGAAGTGCTGCTGGGAAATCYTTTGAGACACTGGTCAGGTGRATGAACCAATTCCTTCCCCACCCCAGAGAGCACACACTCATCCCCTRGTCACAAAATTCATCTGAAACCCCCCAGGTGCTTGAGTTCAAACATTTACACAGTTGAACAAAAGCACAGGATGAAAGAGGGCAATGTTTGCTTTTTGAACTTCTTTTAAAACTGGTATTGAGCTCCAGTTGGTCACACCTCTTGTCTCAAGCAGAGGAATTTCTCATGTTAAAAGAGCCACAGTGAGGGCTTTTATTTCACTCACAGCTGCCAAAAAGAGACAGAAATAAGTTCCTCTCCCATTTCAAAGGCTTCACTCACCTGTGACACCAGAGGGTTCTGACACATCAGTGCAGTAACAGCAGTACAAAAGTTTGTTTTTTTGTTTCTTCTCATTTTTCTTTTCTTATTGACAGCAAAGAACATCCCTCCTGTGCTGCCTCAGGAAACAGCATGGATGGACCGGGCTGTGAGACTTCCCCACAGAAGGAGTGATGTGGCAGCARGGAAAATTCAGCTGGAAAATGTGTCTTCATTTACAGACACCCCCTCAGGGCCTCCCCAACCACAGTCTCAATTGCACCTTTATCAACTTTCCAAAGTGGAAGATTGCAAATTGCCTCTGAAATCTTCCAACTCTTCCCTCTAAGACTGAACTTTTCACATTATTTAGAAGAGAGGGACTCTTTTCCCTSTAATGGGGCACGTCTGGGGACTGGTAAATTAATACTTGTTTACTTATATCCTCCTGCTGTTCTGTTCAAACCCATTCCAAGCGCTCCTCTCGCTGCATTAAGGATATCAGCATGTTGTTTGTTTTAGAACCTGGCAGAGAGCACAACAATACAGCTTCTCACCAGGGTGCACACCAGCAACAAATTGAATGAAAGGAAGCAAACTGATCCTCAGAGCGCAGAGCTTCTGGGTAATCAGAATTGCAGATGCTTGACTGAGCGTTAAAACTCTTGGCCATCAATCTGACCTTCTCCTGTCTTATTACTGGAGGTGCTTGCTGGGTGTACTTTGGGGGAGAAAGTTGAAAAAATGGAGAATAATAAATATTTGGGGGGGGGCAGAGCTATGTGTTGTTGTGTCAGGTGGTTTTAGCTAAGAAAACTAACCCCAAAGCCTTTCATTTTATAAAAATGTGCTTATATTTAAAATTCTAAATATTACAAAAAAGAGCAAAAAAAATGGAAGCATTAATGTCATTGAATTGAAATTTTMAGCTGAATTTTACAAAGAAAATTAATAAAATATGAATCCCCCTTCCCYAGGATCCATCCATGAGCACCATGTATCCCCCAGAATACAAGACCATCTGTGATCTTGTTGAATTCCTGCCTCCTGCCCCTCCTGGTCCCTGAATTTCAGTGTGGGGACCACCAGGCCTTGGGCCAGGGAGACCAGCAAGGGATCCCCACAAGTGCTCAGATGTGGCAATGATGGATTATTAGAGATTGAGGCAAAATCACTGCAGTGGAAGAAATTTAGCTCCAACTCCCTGCCCTGGCTGGAGGAAAAGCCAATTTGTGCCCTATCCATCTGATAAAGTTCTTTCCACACACTTCTCAAGACAGGGAAAAATCCCTGCAAGCCCAGTTTGGCTTCCCAAATCTCCCCCCACTGAATCCACTGGTGTGGGATCACAAAAAAGGCCTGTACCTGAGCGAGGTGCTGCAGTTGCTTGGTGTCTACAAAGCTGAGGAGAAAAGCCAAGTCCTGTTCATCTCTCCTGGCCAGGGCGCTGAGCGGGGCAGCTGCTCCTGCCACGTTCCTGCCCTGSAGCTGCAGCACTGCCAGACGAGCCCTGGCTGAGGCCTCAGCAGGACAGTGGCCAAARGCTTCCTGCAGGTGCCTCAGGGCCTCTTGGTGCTTTCCTGTTGGGGAACAGCAGCACAAACTCCATTACCCGTTCCACGGGGAGAAAGGCACCAAGGAAAGTCAGCAAGGTAAGGTTAAGGCAGCCAGCCCTTGTCTAAAGGTGTTAATTATTTCATGCCTTTTCCTAAAACATTCTCAGACTTCTCTTGAGAAGCACCATCCAGGAAAATCCAGTACCATCCAGGAAAATCCAGCACCATCCAGGGAAATCCAGCACCTTCCAGGAATACCCATCACCATCCAGAAAAATCCAGCACCATCCAGAAAAATCCAGCACCATCCAGGAATATCCAGCACCATCTAGGAATATCCAACACCATCCAGGAATATCCAGCACCATCCAACACCATCCATTCAGAAACATTCAGCACTATCCAATACAACACTCATCATTCACCATTCACTTCCTGCCCATTTTCTGCTCTCTCACCAAGCTGGGAGAAGTCCTGCAGAAGGACTGGGACTCACCATTTGCCATCAGAACGTCGGTGTAGAAGATGTGATGTTGAGCAGCCTTGCAGATTTTCATCAGTGCTTTTGCCATGGTGAGGAGGTCCCCGAGGGTTTCTTCTCTTGGGAGGTCTTTGGTGGCCACGAGCTCGGTGAGAGTGGCCCTGCCATGCTGGAGGAGCCACCCAGTGACCAACCCTCGGGCTTCAGGCTTCAAGCACAGGATTGCTGGGATCACTGCCCCTGCCTCCACCTTCAGTGCTGAGGTCAGATCTTGCACTGCCTCCTGTGGAGAAAAATGCCAAGAAAAGAAATGGAAGCAATAATTGAGTATTGATCATTTATTCTTTTGGCTGTTTTCTGCTGTCTGCTGAACCATGGAAAAGCTTTGCCCTTCCCTGTCCTTGTGCTGCATCTCTTCCATTTGCAAAGCTGCTAGGGGATCAGAAAGGCAGGTTTGAATGAGTATTTCCAAAGTGTTTTAAACTCTTTGGATTATCAGASAAAATCAAGGTTTAGTCTTCCTCTCTCTGGAGTTGGGAAAGCAAATCAGTAACATCAGGTGGGCTGTTTATACACCCAGAGCCTTTCACTGCCCAAATTCTGTGAGAAATTCCTGATTCCAGTGATTCCTTGATAAATTCTGTGATATCTTACACTCTTATTGTTTAATACCCCCAGAAAAATCAGCAAACCCCACACAGTCAGTACCTTCTGCTGCTTCAGAGCGAGATGAACGAACCCCCGGCCRCTCAGAGCTTGCACATTCCTGGGATCTTCCTTCAGGACAGCATTAAAATCAAAAATTGCAGTTTTCATCTGCCCCAGGCGCCCGTAGCATCGGGCCCTGGTGAGAAGGCAATCCTCAGCATAACCACCTGGAAGACAGGGATGAGCCATGGTTACTGCAAGGATACCCACAGGAAGCTGTAAAAAGCCTCCCCTTGGCCTGAGGACACCTCAGGATGAAGTACAAAGAGAGTTTGCCTAAGTGGAAGTTTCCTTTATTTTTATTGCAAGTGGAATTCCTACCACAWGTTTTCAGGCACGGGTTGAAAGGAAAAAAGAATCTGTGTCAGGATGGAGTGGGAGCAGCACAAATGAGAGGAGAAACTCTAGGAGGGAGATCTGTGAATATGTGAGAGGGGAGGCACGAAGCCATTCGGCTGTTTTGATAAAGTGGAGTCAGAATCATGGAATAGTTTGGGTTGGAAGGGACCTTAAAGAGTCCACAGCCCCCTGCCATGGGCAGGGAAGGCACCCATTGTTTTGGATAAATGACTTATCCAGATGGGGCTGATGAATTCCCTGCCAGAATTAATATGCATTGTGATTTGTGATACTGAGCTGATTTTTTTTTTCTGCTTTCACACAAGTGCTGCCCAAACAAACACAGAAAGCTGACAGTGAAAATCCTGGTTCCTCCACTCCCTGGGCTGCAGAGCATTTCTCTCCTTGCCATCCACATATCCCTTCCTTCCAAGGCAATTTTGATAAGGATCTTAATATGGCCAGGGTTGCAATCAATAACTGTGGCATCCAATAGTGGGTGATAAATCATCAGTGCCACTGGAAATATGTTTTCCTAGGGAGGTCAGCAAACGCAGCTGCCTGCAGGGATCAGCCAGCAGACAGGCTCCAAGCAATTCTTTTACAGCAATGAGGCTTTTTTCCCCTCCTGATTTGCTCCAAAACTTCTGTACCAAAGGTTATTATCACTCTGGAGCTTTACCAGTTGGCTCCTCTAAAGACAATATCTATTTCTTAACAAGCATCTGTTCTAGCAGGTGGGGAGCTGATAAGCTGGAATGCATGGGCTGTGAAATGGAACCATCTCCAAGCAATTAACAGGGTTTTTATTCCATCTCCATGAGCCAGTCTCTCTTCTTCTCAGTGCTGCTGTCATAACATTTGCTCAGAGTGAAAGGCAGATTTCCATACAAACATGGTTTTACTTGGAACACGCCTGAAGCATTTCCATGTCAGCCTGGTCTCTCTCCTTAGGAAAAGCTGGGACAGTGAAATGTGAGTGGCTGCAGGCACTCCTTTGCACTGGGTGAGGAAAAGGGCCTGATGTCCCTGCAGAACYGAGCTGAACCCATTTAAAAGAATTAACAATTAATTTAATTATTGTTTAATTACACCTCTTCACAGCCCAGATGAACCTGCTGTTTCAGCCCTCACCAGGGAGCTGACAGAGGAGATCTCAACATCCCATCCCATGAATCTGCCCTGATTTCCCTTAGAAGCACATCCCCACTGGCATCCTGGTGTCCTACCTGCAGCAATGATGGCAAAGGACAGGTGGGCAATGGCCTCTTTGATGGCAGCACYCTCCTGTTTGCCCTTCAGGATGGCCAGGGCTCGCCAGCGGCAGTGGCTCTGCAGCAGCTTCCGATCCTCCTCCTGGAAAATGTCCAGGATTGGCAGGAGGCAGGAGGAATCTCCAATTCTGATCACTCTCTTCAGCAGCTGGAGGATGGAAGAGGGAAAGRCAGCAGAGGAAGGGTTGCATGAGGAGATGGGAGGTTGTGTTYAGCTCTGGTGAGACCATTGTGCCCTTCCCCCGCTTCCCCACTTTTGCTGGGGCTTCAGGCAGCCAAGGACCATGAATTTCCCTGATTTATCTCCTCAGTTGGACCTGGGGTGAACACAGGCTGGAGACAACAGGAGTTCTTATCTTCCCTCACCACCACGGCAGCTGTGGAAATAATTCTGGGCAAATACCTGGCACTGCCTGGTTTGCTTTGGGCAGCATCTGCTCCGCCTTGGAAGTAGAATGTTTTATAAATACAGGATGATTGCCCAAAAAAGAGAATGTTCCTGTGGAACAGAAGGATTTCAGTAACTCCTTTTGACCATAAAATCAAACCCAGTGAATGAATGGAAAATCAGGGAAGTGCTGTGCCTTTTTTTTTTAGTATTGTTATTGGGAATCTGGGAAAAGCATGGATTCACATTCAAAACTACTGTCCTCCTGGAGAAGATTCCTGCCTGACCTTTGGCATCTTTGCCTCAATAAGCACTTTTTTTACTGCCTTTCCAATGAAAATGAAATAAAAGGTGTTTTTTGTGCTCAGTAGGTAGTGGATCTTCAAATCTGAGCCAGAGAAGCCAGGAAAGAACAAAGTGATCCTGATGCACCAGGCACATGCTTCGAACTCATTACTGTCTCTATTTTATTAATAGATATAATTGATTGGCATCTGACAGGCAGGTGGGATAAAAGCATTTTGAAGAGAAAGTTTCATATGTTCCATGCAGAACTTGCAGCAGAAGCTGCAGATGGAAATCCAACTTCCAAGGGCAGAGCTCTAATAAAGCCACACCTTCATTAACAGCCCTCCCAAAGGCAGCAAATTACAGCAAACTTTTATTTTTCATTAGGAGTAGAGAAGCAGTGACAGCAAAACCTCTCTATGGATTAGCAGAATTTATGTGGCATTCTTTAAAAAATACAATAGTTCCCTCTGATGGCAGAGCCTGGGAATTCAGCTTTGTAATCCTGGGAAGGAGAATCAGTTTACTGGAATGTCTTTCARGGTTTCAAGCACAATTTATCAGCACTGGAGAAAGAAAACTGCAGACTGAAATTGGAGTTTCTGTGTTTGTGTCTTTCCTCTTCAGTGCTTTGTTAGGATAATCAAGGAGGTGGCCCTTGTGCCTTCTGTTCTCTAAGGGAACATTCCCAATCCCAWAATGTTGTCCCCAGGGAGAGGATGCTCTGCATGGTTAAAGTACTGAGAAATGCAATTAAAAATCACACGAGGAACGAGCTGGGTTTAACTGGGAGTCCTTTCATGGCCTTTTTGGACACAAATTCCTGTGTTTCTATAACTTTATGGTGTTATCAGCCCTGGATTTACATCTGAAAAGTTCTGCTGGAGGTTCTGCATGTGGGCTCTGAGTTTTGCTGTGTCACAGCTCTTTTCAGGAGCTTCTGACAACAAAGTTTACTTCTAAAGGGGGAATGCACCAAAAAAAATGAGTATTTATCTGTAATTTCACTGTGGTCTGGGACAAGCAGGAGGGAATGACCCTGAGGATGAGGCTTCCCAGGTGCTCCTTACCTGGTTGCCATCGTACACACAGCCTCTCTTCAGCTGCAGCAGAGCCAGCCTGGCCAGCACAGGAGCTCTCTGGGGGTTTCTGGAGAGMGCCAGGGACAGCATCTTGTGGGCTTCTTCCCCACGGCCCATCTGGTACAGGGCATCAGCACACAGGAGCCTGGAATCTTCATCAGAGCTGTCCAGCTCCACCAGGAGAGAAGCCAGCTGGAAAACCCCTGGGGCATCTCTGCAGTGGGAAAAACCCAACAAAATGAAACAAATCAAAATAAAACAAAACAAATCAAAACAAAACACCTTCGAGGTCAGGAATGTGCACAGCCCTGTTTCCTTTTTCTAAAAGGAAACTGCGCTGCCTCCTAGGTACCTCTTCTTCTGGAGCATCATCTGTCCTTCCTCCTGGAGAACCTTCAGCAACAATCCCCTCTGGTTCCACGGCACGTAGGACTTGATGGTGAAGATGGTTTCCTCCAGCTTTAACTGACAAGCTGTGATRTAATCCAGGGCTGTCAGGTAATTGCTGCCACCCGAAATCCGGATCAGCCCGCGCCCACACAGGGCTTTGATGCAGCTGCTGGGATGTGGGGAATCGTGTTCAATGACCTTCTGGAAGTCCTGCAGGGCTCCGTGGTGGTCCTGGGCATGGAGGCAGCAGAAGCCTCGCAGTGCCAGCAGGGTGTTGTGGTAGGTGCTCTGCTCCGCTGCCAGCAGCTGCTCGCAGATGTGCAGGGCGGCTGCAGGGTGTCCCTGCAGGAGGTGACAGTCTGCCAGGCGCACGCTGAGCTCCCGGCGGGACCCTGGGCAGATGTGCAGGAGCAGCTGGATGGTCTGGATGATGGGAGGGAGCAGCTCAGTGCCRTGGCTGCCCCTGAGCTCGGCCCGGGCACGCACGGCCTCCCTGAACGCTGCAAACTTCTCCTCCAGGGCTGCTCTGGCCTGCTCCTCGATCTGCTCAGTGTCACCGGGCGAGAAAAGCTCCTCAAAGCGTTCCCTTGCCCGGCCAGGGTCTGCTGCAAAGGCTGCTGCTAAATCCTGCACCATTTCCTGCGCCTGCCCTCCMAGGGAGAAATACCCAGCCGCCCGTTCCAGGAGCAGAGGCAGAGCTCCCTCACTGCTCAKCTTCCCAGAGGAGCAGCCCTCCAGGGCCGAGGTGCAGATGGCCACAGCCTCCTGAACGTGGCCAGTTCGCCGCAGGTGAGCGGCCCGCGCCCTGCACACCCAGCTGTGCCCCGGGGCCACMGCGGCCAGGAAAGCGTAGCAATTCCCCAGCCACTGCTCCGATTTTCGGCACCCTGGGCTCTCCCCCTGGCACTTGGAGAGGTGATCRGAGAAGGCCTGGATGATCTGGGGCAGGTGCTCCCTCTGCCTGCTGCACACGTGGGCCGCYGCCTCGGCTGGGTGCAGCACGAAGGCTCGGACATAATCCACAACTCCCTCCTCGACCTGTGTYCCTGAGAGCACCCGTGCCAGCGCTCTCAGCAGCAGCAGCTCCATGGAATCCCTGGGATCATCCTCCAGCAGCAGGCTGCACTTGCTCACCACCTCCTCCGAGCAGCCACGCCTCAACAGGGCCTCCAGCTCGTAAACCGAGGCCGCCACGTTGTTGGGGACGAGGGTGGAGAGGAAAATCGCAGCAATTCCCACGCTGAGCGACACCACGGCCAGGTTCCTGCTCTGGATCTCGGGGATCTGCCCCTGGCCTTGGCACCAGGCCTCCARGGTGGCCACCACCTGCTCCTGGAAGCCGTGGCCCATGGAGGCGACTCTCTGCACCGCTGTGGGGGCACAGCAGCTGAAGGCAGCCAGGTAAAAGGCGGTGGCCGCTGGAAATTCCTGCTGGGAGAGGCGTTCGTCCCCTTCCCCGCAGAGCAGGGCCGCCAGCTCCTCGGGTGACATGTCCTGTGCTTGGGCCTTCACCGAGCACCATCACGGGG